TCATTTGTACTTGATTTAATGCTTAATTCGCTTGTAGAACCGCATTCAAGAGATCCTGCATAATCGAAAACAAGTGGAACATTTGTTACTGGGTAGTAGATTGACTTATTTTCAATATCCCAAGCCCTCGTTTTTCAGTATACAATCTTTCTGTGCTTTTCTGGTGAAAAATGTGTACCAAAATATCCGTAAACAACTATTCGTTCATTCTCCCTTTTTATTGTTGCTCATGTAAACTGAAAGCGAGCAATACGGTCGGCATTGATGCCACCGTTGTTAGTCCTGACCTTAGTAACCGATTAAGCTCAACAGATGATTCACGACATAAAAGTGCATCGCCGGAACACAATAAAGGGTGCGTTAGACACAAACTGCGATGACCTTTGACCAGTGGTCTATCCACTTACGTCAGTGATCATCGTTCAACCAGTCGCAAAAGCGCATCAATGCAGCTTCGGTTATCGATCGATTGGGGGCCTAACATCCTACCCGACATCCCGCTGACCAGCTATCGCGATTATCGTTCACCTGAGGGCACAGCCAAGATAGTGTGATAGAGGCCAAGGATCCACTAAATTTTATTCCCATCGCTCAAACTAATCTTACGACCGCAAACAAAGTCATGGATGGGGTAACCACCGCAAGAAAAGCTGGATAAAAATATTCCAGTATCCCCACAGGATTGCAGAAACCTTTGTAGAGGGCAAAGCTATTTGCTGTTGACTTGGCTTGAATCTCCGCTGGAACTTAACCAGTGCGCTCTTTACATCAATTTTACACTCCCGGTATTCATCTGGAATACAAACGCTACCGAGGCAAACAAGTTGTATTGACCTAGTAACTGTTACGTCTATCTGATTGAGATAATTTTAGATGCATTCAACGAGTCATCGAGCCAACTCTCCGCTCTATAGAGCAGAAATGGTCCAGATGCTACAGCCTGTACTCTACGCTTCACAGACATCCGGATGTCGCAACGGTGCCACAGATGTCTAAAGTTGGTGAACGCCAATCGAGCCTTCTGAATGCGAGCTAACACTTCATCCGTGATGCGTCTACCGGGTAAAATATAGCTACCCAAAGAACAAAATTTGNACAATTTTTGTTCTTCTTGCAACAGTTGATCAACGGGGTTGTGAGATCCTCTTTTTAGAACATAATTCAACAACCCATCATTCATAGCACCTAAGATGCGCTGATTTCTTTCTCTTGAACTGGTCACTGGTATTCGATATCGTTGACCTCTTAGTGAATGCCGAAAATTCCTTTAACAATGTAGATTGAAGTTGATTTCATCAATCTACATCTGGAAAGAAATGGCTCAAAAACAGGTCATTATATTTACTTTTCCTCTCCTCGTCATTATCCACTAGGTTCGCCTTTCCTGGTATTGATTAATCATTTTGATCGTAATCAGCTTTCGATTTAAATAGTTGCTAATGGTAGTGATTAAAACTTATTTGTCGTATTCGGCATTGAGTTTCATCCGTAGAAACGACAGTGTCACAGTCGTATTCTCCCCAATCCATTAGGACCACCATCACGATGAGACGTGGTTTCATGGATGCTTTATCTATCTAACTAAACGAGCTACACAGGATGGCTTTCGTCAGTCCGAGGATCTAATCATGCCTGGAAGGTCGAAGGGTAGAAGTCAGACGAAGTTCAGTCTCCTGGTCCTCTATGCTGGGGGTTCGACTGGAATTTGCGTTTCAGTCGGTACAAATGGCGGAGGAGTAATCGATCCAAGTAGATGGGTCTCCACTTAGCCTCACTCGCTGCCTTGTGGCTAGTTTGTTGTCAGAACCGAAGGCTTCGATTGAGAATCCTAATAATTCTCCTGCTTAGTGACTGGACCTCATAGCACTACTCAGTCATCAAAGCGCAATGCACACACATATTAAAAATAATTCCATATGTCATCGATTGTGGCGCAAGATAATCATTACCGCGATACCCATTGCATCGAGCGGGGTAGTGATAAGTGGTTTACTGTTCAAATATCTCAACCTTGGTTCAATTCTTTTTCTTCCATACCCCAGCCCTCTTCATTTTCCCCTTCTTACCACCTGTAATAGTTCCTCGGATAGCTTGAATCTCGCTCGCCAGAGGTCGTTGCCAAATGGTACTGACCTTAAGGGAGCCTTCGACAAATCGGACTGATTCAGAGTAGAATAAATATAATCCGGAAGACGCCAGTGATTACAGAGAAGTTGTGTAAAGGTTGTAAAGGGCTGTCTTAAACCTCCCAGACCAGCTCAATTCAGGGTAGAAAAAATGCCACTGATTTTCACCTTTGTGATAGGTGGAACACTGTTAATTCTTACACTGTACCCTTGTATCATTGTTTTGCATCTCGTCAAGCGTGCATTTCAGAAATAGGTAGGCAACCGCACTTGATTCAAATGATTCGGTGTTATTTGAGGGAATCACTGCCTCACTGAAATTTACTCACTAGGATATTGAGGGCTTAGACTGAATCCACTCATGCCATGATTCATTCCCACATTCATGTCTGGGCATGGTGACCGATTTATCGATCCATCTTGACGTGACCCGACTGCTAGAGGTCAATTACCGCCGGGTTCTTTCATTCCCGTCTATGACACACCAGATCAACGATCACGGACATAACGTTCCAGGGTGGAGCGGAGGGGGGAGGGAACATCCCCTCACACCGAAACCTTCATCACTTTCCCTCCTTTGTGTTGTGTCGTGTCATCCGTTGTGATTAGCGATCTTGTCTCTGTCTCTTTCGGTAACTCACCCAAAAAGTACCTGTTTGTTTTCGAAGAAGTGAGTTCATTCGGACTGGGTGGGGTTTAGACAGACCCAGTCCACTCGGTGACATTTGACAACCGAAACACCGATCNTGAGGTTCCCAATGGGATGCGATTGGTTGGATTCACTTGAAGTTACAACGGATCCACTTGAAGTTGAAAAGGTATAGATTGAGGTTGGTGATGAACCAACTCTATCTTGTAGAAACATTTTACACTTTGAAGGTGAAAAATGCATACCGAACATAGATACATTAGCACTTAAACTATCCAGAAAAGCTTGCAACTTACCTGGATCGTCAATTAGCACCACAATGTCATCNNNTACATACTCCAGACCAGACAGTCTACCACCCGGAAGCAAATCGATACCGCTATCCCCGCATGAGAATAGGGCTGTTTCAAGAATCAAATCTATAACAAAGTTAAATAGAAAAGTAGAGAGAGGGCAGCCCTGTCACACTAGTTCCGGTGGTGAACTCGGGTGAAAAAGTGCCGAAAGCTCGGAATCGGCTGCAGCTATTATCGTAGACGGATTGTAAGATTGTAATGAACTTTCCGGGCACACCCTTTTGAGCGAGGCAGCGCCAGAGTTTAGAGCGGTCGACTGAGTCGAAAGCCACTTTCCGATCGAGGAAGATAGAAATGGTGGGTCTACGGAAGGAGCGTCTGTATTGTAGAATTTGACGAAGAGTAAAAATGTGGTCCGCACGACCTAGACCATGTCTAAAACCAGCCTGGCTCTCACGTGTGCACCCATCACATGCGGCAGACAACCGACGGAGTATAATACCGGCGAGAAGTGTAGAGACGATATTGATTAAAATAATTCCTCTGTTTTTCGCAAGAGGACCTGGAGTCCTTCTTGTAAATCGATATGATGACCGATTCACATCATTCATTTGAAACCTAATCCCTTTCCCATATTGAGCCCAGAAGTTTCGTTATCTCCGAAACGAAGGTTGACCGTCCATTCTTAAAAACGGATGGGAACAGCCCATCTGAGCCGGAAGCCTTCTACCTTTTGAGATAATTTACCTCCCGGGGTAAATTTCAAGGTTTCTAACTAAGGTAGCTTGTTGATCGATCTGATGGTGTGCGCCTGAGTGAACAGGAGATTTTTGTTCGAAAACCTGATAGCTGGTTGACCTTACTGGTCAAAAGCTGAGTGATATCCCATGGGTGGTGCAAACAGGAGGCATCCCCAATGATTTGAGAGTGAGGAAGAAACTGGACAGATGAGAAAGAAGGTTTTCCAAATAGGTGCCTAAGACTTTTGGGCACGACTACCTTGCGTTAGCCCATACCGATGAAGGGGTTTTTCTTTGGGAACCTTGACCGGAGTCTTGGACTCAAAATTTTGACCCACAAGCCTGTGGGGCGTAGATCCTACTCAGCAGTGTGAACGAAGCAAAAATATTGTGATTGAATTGTAGCATAATTATGACCTCTACAGGTGTAGTGCTTATGTTTCAGTCAAAAATTTACATAGTAGATGAGGGATAATCTTGGTCGAATCGTCTTATGGTTGAGCGTAAAGCTGTAAATTTGAGACTGGCCATTAGTACGCCAGCTTAGCATATCAGCGTCGAATAAAGGTTGACAGTTATCAAAAGGGAATACGAAATACAATAATTCTGTGACATTACGAGTTCTGATAACAATCAAGTAATAATGATAATAATACAAGTTTGAAGCACTGAGTTCACTTTATCCAGTTCATCAAAACAGAAAGAAGACAAATGTCACGAGATGTTAACATTTCATTTATTCTTCTCAGTTAATATTAAATATTAAAAAAATATTAAAGTTAATAGAAAATAACAAGTGATAGCCGTTCAATTTCTTCCGATGGATGGAAGAATTAAAAAATAAGTTTCCCTGACGAAAGAAGCAGCCAATCATGAAATAATCTATCGAGGGAAACTTGGGTAGTGGAACGCATAACATTTGGCACAATTTGATGGTGACTTACCGCTTGATCGTTGCCATCAATTATGGCAAATTGATTGACCTCCTCAATTATATTTTAGCATTCGCTGAATTTGTGGATAAAAATTAATAAATCAGTTAACAAATTCCGTCGTACCCAAACAAACAAGCACACAAAATCCAGCACGTGAAAAACTCTGAAAGTTTTACCCCACTTATGGTAAAATTGCTCGATTATACACTCATTTCATTACATCATTTTTTATCCTCAACCACAGCCTGACCGAGATGACTAAAATGAAAGAAAAATTGATTCGTGAACGGGATGAACACCAGGATGAAAATCGTAAACTGCGACAACAGATCGAGGAGACACGCAGTCGAACAGCCAACTATCAAAATGAGCTTTTGGAATCACAGAACAAAATCACAGAGCTGACACAAGAAATTCAGGCGAGTCTCTCCGACCCGATTTTCATGAACCGTGATGATACGAACAAAAGGGAGATAGCTGAAAACAAAGAGATAGGTACAGAGTAATCGTTGACACTGACTTTAGGTGATATGTATTTTTGGGTTCTATGAAATCACAACTTCAGTAAAATGATTTGACTTCTGTTGCAAATCCATTTCTAGGCAAAAAATACCGAAGCTCAACGAGAATTGCGGAAGAAGGAGCGGATGGAAAGAGAACTGAAACAAGTTCGAGCGGAAGTGGAGGCTAAAATGGAGGAAATACGACTCACTTCTACCGCGGTGGAAAAGTTGAAGCAGGAATTACGACAAAAGGAAGAGGAAAATCGTGGAACAAAAGTTTCTCTTGAACAGGCTAGTCGACAGTTGCAGGTGACGGAGACAAAACTCCGTGAGTGTCAGGCCAAATTGGAGTCACAAATCCAGGTTACCGATTCTGTTATGGTAGAAAATCAGACCCGTTTGGCTGAGGTGAAAGTACGTTGCAAAGGTTGTTTACATATCTATTATGAGGGATGTTCACACAGCAATATAATTAGATATGAATGATGAAGACAAAGTAGACACGTGTTGGTACACGCATATTAACCAATTTCTTTCCTATGGTCCAAGTAGTTTGATTGATTACCTTGAAATTCATTTGGGAACAAATCACAAGCAACTGCTTTTCATATTTTGCGCAGTCAACGCAAATCTCCATTTAGATCAAACACAGAATTGATGTGCATTACTTTTTTCATCTGGTGCTGACACAGTGCACTTTTTGAGCCCAAGACCCTACTAACAAACCGAGACATTGTGCTGTACAACTTCTACAGAAAACTAGATGAAAGCAAAAAGATTAACCTTGAGCTAACACCAGGGGGTAGCACCCAAGAGATTGTTTAACTGGATGGCGAAAGACAACGATGACCATGACAACAAATTGACAAAGTCGGTATCCTCTTTTTCATCACCTGCAAATGTTTCTTCACACCGTGTTGGGACGTTGCAGCCACCCAAACGTTTAGGAGTCAGTTTGCGCAGTTAAAATAAACTACCATGGTTCCCAATATCTTTAAACAAGATAAAAACAGCCCACCGAATCCGGAATGATGCAGCGAAGTAACACGGAAGGAGATTTTATTCATGATGTTATGCGGGTTTTACAACTGAAACAATTGCGTATTATCATATGTGTATGTTTGACTTTTAACCCTCTCAGGTTGATCGCAAATGCAAACGTCCTTTCACAACCAGATATAACGATCAACTGAGCAATGAAATAGTGATGGTAAAACGAACTGCAGCATTTACAGCATTTAAACAGGGGGAGAATAAAGTGTGAAAAGGCAAGAAAGATAGTGGACATTATCCAGTTTCAATAACATTTCATTCCGAGCAGGATTCCCTAACTACCGAGACATGTGGTGCTTATTTCACATACTCTTTTTCTTGATGAAGTCATTACATTATTTTGTTACCTTTGAACTTGTCCCTGTACACGGTAGCGGTGTAATTGACTACCGCTCTTTATCCTTATTGTTTTTCTTTTTTAACTACTCATGAGTAGTGTAAAGTGTTTACAGTAAAACAAGTCTCGAGGGCAGATTCAAATGTGTAATAGCATAAAATTCTCGTTTGTATCGCATGATTAATATCCACAATAAGCCTAATGAATTACAGTAGAATTAATTAATTAATTAATTGAATTAATTGAATAGTTTTGGTTGGACTTTGGACCCAGAGGTAGGTTTGTGGCTATGATTTGGTTTAGGGTGACAAGTGAAATTAGAATTTCGTGTAAGTGCAGTCCGTGTTGGTAAAACTAGCCATTTTATATAGCGACTTCCTACCATTCGACCCCACTCCTTTAAAATTGAACCACAGCATCTGTTGGCTCTCTTGGAGGTGTAAATCACATCTCAAAACTTGCAGGTCCAGTTAATAGTACATGTACCGTCACTGGATAGCTATTTCAACGCACTGTCCAGCTGATTTACTCATCAGGCTTTGGCTAACCGAAGGTTCCACCCATGTTTTCTTTACTGAGAAAATCTCTAACAAAATCACATGTTTTGGTTTAGATAATCTAAGATCTAAATCTATTTTCCTCTTCGTCTCACATTATTATCTGTGTAGATACAGAAAAGCGCGAAAAAAAATAAAAACCGAACTGTCCACAAAATGACTTTATGAGGCTCCTGTTTGGGCAAGCGAACGAGCAATGCTGAGGTCAGGTACAAACTTTTAGTTAATCGCGGTCGCCCACTGGAGCGAGTGGTCAACCTCCACAGAGTAGGCTGGTTGGTGCACATGTTGCGCATGCCACCAAATAGACTGCCACGGTGGGCGAATTTGCCGAGGCAGGTAGTGGGTGCAAAATCTAAAGGCGGTAAAACTAAGACTTGGTACGAGGGTATGGTACCTCTGACCAGGAGCCACTTTCGTATAGGCTGCATTAGACTCCCTGGACGGAGCCGTCTTCATCCTTTAAATCAATTTTCAGAGGCACTAAGCGATATGGTTGAGTGTCGTCAACATTGGCGGTCGTACATCTTTTCAGTTTATTCGCAGTCTTAGTTTACTGGAGTTCTCCATTTCCTCTTTGACCCACATTCCAATCTTTATTTTACCCCTCCATCCAACTGAGCAACCAAAAGACAGTAACCAAAACCGGCGCACGAAAGTGTATGGCTAATTACTGTAAAAGCTGAATGGAACTGAACTGTTGAAAACTCGGAAAGTCTTTCAAATGATAAAAATTCAATGAGAATTTCTATAGTAGCTGGTTGGAATATTTCAAGATGAAGGTTGAGAAGACAAGCCACATAATAGGCTGACTCGGTATTCGAATAAATCTCTAACCCTTTAGTCCTATTCAACAAGAAACTAATATAGTGATGCGTATATTGTATTTTTTAGTTAAGTTAAACTATCTACGACCTTATTTATGTTTGGTCTGTCTTGATGTTCCCCATTTGTGTTAGCAACGAGAAGATGAGGTGGCCGCGATGAAAGCAGAGTGTCAGAAATTGTTGAAACAACGTGAAGCAGCCCAACGGAAATTGAGGCAAAGTGAAGAGGACAAAGCGCAGTTGGAAGCCACACGGGATCGACTCCGAAGTGAAATACAGGCGTATGAGAATGAAATTGAAATGATGCACAAGACACTGGACGCAGATCGTCGCACATGTGATGAATTGTCCAAGGAGAAGGAACAACTGAACAAAAGTCTGACCAAAGCCGTCGCCCAGACAACGAAACAGACCAATCTGTTAAAAATGCACGAAATGTCTAAACAGAATTTAGAGCAGGAGATTGTCAACTATCGAGATGAGGCTCAAAAGCAAAGGAAAATTATTTATAAACTGGAACGTGAACGAGATCGTTACATAACCGAGGCGTCAGAATTGACACAGAAAGTACTACAACATATGGATGAGTTAAAATATCGAGAGATGCAAATATTTGAGAATAAGAAACGGATTGCCGAGGCGGAGACAAAATTAAAACAACAACAGAATTTGTACGAGGCTGTACGAAGTGATCGAAATTTGTACAGTAAAAATTTGATCGAGGCTCAAGATGAGATCACGGAAATGAAACGTAAACTGAAAATCCTGTCTCATCAAATAGATCAGCTAAAAGATGATATTGCTACAAAAGAGGCAATTTTAGTCAAGGAAAATTTAGAACGACAGAAAGTGGACAAAGAACGAGAACAATTAGCCAAAGATCTGCAACGCATGAAAATACAAGCGGCTGAGAATCGAGCCTATATTGAAGCCCAGGAGGCCGAGGAGGGCAAATTGCTGAAGATTGTGGCCGAGGCTGAACAGGAACGGCTACGGGAACGGAAAGAACACGAGCAAGTGATCAATGAGCGTGATGTACTCGGCAGTCAGTTGGTCCGTAGAAATGACGAACTCGCGTTGCTCTACGAGAAAATTCGCATACAACAGTCTGTTTTGTGCAAGGGTGAAAAACAGTTCAACGACCGATTACGTGATCTGAATTTACTCAAACAAGAAGTACGTAAATTGCGTCGAGAGAAGGCTGTACTGCAGTCCACGGCATGCAAAATTAACGATCTGAAAACGGAAGTGCATCGCGTGCAACGGGATTTGATCCGGGAACGCACACGCGCGCGAGCATTGGAAGAAGAGTTACAAAACCCGGTGAATGTGCACAGATGGAGGAAACTTGAGGTAGGCGACTAACTGGTTCCTGTTACTTTATGATGGTGTGCATAGCTTTATTTTTTTCATCGAGCACAGTAACATTAACAGATGCAAACGATTTTGATGTTTCTGTTAGCAGGACTTTGAAAATCAAGTGAATGTAACGTAACGTATCAAAGTTAACGGTTGTACAAATAGGACTGTAACTGAGTGTCTGCTGAAACCCTGTATGGCAGGTCCGTTTTATGGGTCAACAGATTCTGGAGATGAGGCTGGTATTATCACAGTGCTTCTGGGGAGGGTCAGTAACTGGCCAGTCACAAGTGCAGCATAAGCCCTTGTCTAATCGACCAAGGCCCCAAGGAGTGCACCAACGAACCGCCGCTAACAGTCTCAGTTCGAAATGAGTCTGGACCACATACAGTGCAGTATTGTGGCCGATTGCTTGTATAGGAAATTTATTCACCGGTTCATATGATATTTTCCTGTCCTTATCCTCATGATGCTATTATTATCACATTTGTATTGTATGTGACAATCAAACTCGATTTCAACAGTCGTTCTCTGTGGGTATCACATCAATTAGGTTACACCATTTATATGTATAACATTCGATGTATACATATTTATTTTCTTATGCATATAAATTTCATGAGGAAAAACAAAGAAAGCTAAAGTATTGAGAACATTTGAAATGAACAACCATGTACTTATGCTGGGATGACGTCATCACTATATACTAATCCTCACTCACACATGCACTCTATGCATATTGACTCTGTTTAAACTGAAGTATTATGGAAATTTATCATGTTTTCGTGTCTTGTTCGTGGCCAGTGATAACTAAACTTTGTGATATGAAAGAAACAGCTTGTCTTTTATGTATGTTTCAACGCGGTACTCAAATTTGAACTTTTCCCTCAAACAGATATATTACTTTGATGGTTGGCGCGAGTTTAACTTTTTACCAGAGGTACAGAAGCGTTCAGTTGGTTTATTTACCTTTTGCTTTGTTCAGCCGTTTGTTTTCTTGTTTACATGAATCACGGGAAACATCGATACTTCTAATCGGACATTTATGTCATTCTCATTTTGGTCAAATCTAGGGCAGTGATCCGTCCACATATGAGATGATTTTAAAGATCCAGGTACTTCAGAAACGTTTGATTAGCAAGACCGAAGAGGTTGTGGAAAAAGAGTTACTCATACAAGAAAAAGAAAAACTGTATGT